AAAAATATGAATGAAATTTTACACTACGGCGCGATGTCAAGTTTATCACATTTTAATATTAATCGCCCCATTTAATCATTTCTTTATTGTCGCCAAATTATTTTTTTTTAAATAATTAATTTTAATTTTTCTCAGCTTCTAATAAATAAAAACAGTTGAAACTAGATTTTTCAATTGAAAAATATGTAGATTAATATGGTATAAAAAAATTCATACCTTATAATTCAAAATTTTTTCATCCTCTCTTTAATTAAATAATAAAAAATAATTAATAATCATTAAAAATTATTTTTTTCATGATATTATCTTTGGATAAATGAGTTTTATGAGTGGGTGCAATTTTATTTAAATTGCTTTATTAGTTTTGAAAATATGACAAAAAACGTAAAAAGTTAAATTAACATTAAGGGGTACGAACTTTGGATCGTTCTCCTGACCAAACTATGGGGACCATTTTTCCCAGATTGCGGCTACCCCCTATATTTTTAAGGTTAAGAATCCAAATATGTGGAAAAAAATGTATGCTTATTCAGAGAAAGTGCGTTTTTGTGTCTGATTTCGTAACTTAATTAATAGTTAGCACTAATTAATTAGCATATTTGAAGTCACCCACAAGAACCATTAAGATTGACACTTAGTTCGTGAAAATCCGATCATTAGAACGAAAGTTATTCAGGGTGATTCGTTTTTGTTTTTTTGCGGACTGTACATTTACTTCAATCATACGAATGATATACTTTTTGTAAATTAATAGTCCAATAATGTGACTTACCAGCAATATATTCTTACAGCATATACAAATGCTACAAATTTTTTTTTAGATAGATAATTTAAGAAAAATCTAATTTTTTATTTTACAAATCTGTTATTAAAAACTAAATATCTGATAAATTGTTGATACATTTGTTATTTTAATTTATTTACTTTTTAGTTATTTTTCGATTGAATTCTGAAAGCTGATTTTTAAGGCACTGTTGTCATATGTCATGATGATTTTTAGCTAATAATATAAAATTTTTATTATTATTTTAATTTTTTTTTTTAGTTTGTAACAGTTATTCAAATTTATGCTAATTACAAAAATCTAACATTTGTATGAAAAACATTCACAGTTTTATGATAATGGAAAGAAAAAATTTGTGATCTAGTTTTTACTATTTAAAATACTGTAGAACCTCGATTTTTCATTTTCCATCAGACTGGCGTTAAAAAATGCTGGAAGTGGGATGACACAAAATCGAGGTATTGAAAAATATATGTATATTTTAAAAAAATTGACACTTGCAAGATGAACTACTAGAGAGAAATGGGTAACCTTTAAAAATTTTTTAAAAAATTTTTTACAACTTCAACGATATTCCTCTTAATACTTGCTATTTGAAAATGTTTTATATTTTTTATCCTTTCAAACTCTTGATTATTTGTGGTTATATTCTTTGATATTTTTTGTTGAACTTTATGATTTATTATCATCTGAAGCAAGCATCAAATCTGATATTGAAGAATTGAAAAGTAATGGGATGTGTTGTATTCAATATACGCGTCATAGACTTCTGAAGATCTTTAGCCCTGCAATTATATTCTAAAGGTCCAATGTTTTCCGTTGGATACCGAGAAACAATTAAACCCTAAATGTTTTTTTAAACCTATTTGTAATACATTTTAGTTGACGCTAGCCAATGTTGTATAAATTAATTCTGAGTTTCCAGAACATTTATTTTTGCTTTAAAAGCATAATGCAAGTTACCGGAATTCACAAAAACGAGGTGATAACCTAACCAGTTGTTTAGAATAATGTTCTTTAAAAGATAAGATTATTTCAAGATTCAAAGATTGAGGTTCGCTGGAAAATATTCAACTAGAAAATTATACTATTTAATCTCCCATGCTTCCTTTAACCTTCCACCTTCCCTTGCTTTACCTATCCTACCACCTGTCTGATTTTGACACAAGGAGAAAATTTCTCTCACAAACAAAATGTTTAATATAGAATAGAAAGAAAATTAGAAGGCAACAAGCTACAAACAGCTAATAAACAAGTCTCTTTTTTTAAAAAAAAATAAGTAAAAAAATTTAAAAAGCAAATTGAGAAAAAGTTTGCACGAACTTTGTAGCGAAAAAATGATTTTGATCTGTTAAAAAAAAAAAAAAAGAAGCATATAAAGTGGGGGTTTTAAGAACAGAAATGTAAAATCCGCGATAATTTAACATTATAGGCAGTTTCACGGACAAGCAAAAAATTAATTAGGAAATGCGATAACATGAAACAGACAGCATAAAAATGGAGTTTTGCTGTATTACTTCAATGCTGGCTTTTTGTATTCCTTGGTAAAAGAGCTTCTAAAAAATGCTCAATTTAATTTTAAAAAATTCATTTTTATTCTTAAAGGCTTCTGGTGCTTACAATAATTTCCTTACTGTTTATTTTATAGCCAAAATCTACTGGTGAACATAAAAGTAAGCCTACCCAAGCCAGTGTGAGAGAGTTAAGAGGATTAGGACTTTCACCAGATTTAGTAAGTTGGTTTATACTTAATATACCTGCATTTAATTATTTTTCTTATAAACAAAGATAGATTTTTATTATGCAATATATATATATATATATATATTTAATCCAAAATTTTTTAATGAATGGATTTTTCCTAAAACTTTTTAAATTTTGTACTTTTTTTTTGTCCTATTTCTCAAATTTGAAATCAAGTTAAATAAACCTTCATTATGAATAAACATTCTGTTTTAATATTCAATGAGATTTAAATTTTCTGATTTACAAGCTGTGATTTGAAATTTAGTGAAGATCCAATTAGGATTAGAAGTTAATCTTTGAATTTCAAGAGTTTTAAGCTGAATAAGAGTTAAATTTAAAAATTGTGCACTTGATTTGTCTTCCCAAACTTAAAAAAAATTACTTTGAATTAATAAAACTATGATTTAAACTCTTTATGAAACTTAGAGTTGATTTTAGCAAATACTAAGCTGGTACCTTAAAATTTTTTTCTATCCTTTAATTTGCTTACATTTCTTTTGAATTTTTTTTATATTTATTTTCTTTAATACTACTGTGTAGCCGTGAAAAATATTACTGAGCATTCTACACTTTGAAGACACATACTACACAATTTATTCTACATTCTTTTTAAAACTTAAAGCTTGTTCTAAAACAATGTACAAAATAGAACTTACATTTGGTGTATTTAGCATTTATGATTATCAAACTTCCTAGTTTGATAATCATAATCAAGTTTGTTGTCTCAAAGTTCTAAAGTTTAAATATAAATATTATTACTTATTATAATTCAATGCCGAAAAAATCTTATGTTTTGCTAAATGCTTAATTTTTTAATCTCATATTTACTTTACGTTTTCACTAATAAGTTTTTGAATATTTTGTCCATGCATCTAAAAGTGCACTTTTTTATAGAGTATAACTTTTGCGTAAAAGTTTTTATGACTGCAATTTTTAAGGTTGCATGACAAAGTTAGTATGAAATAAAGTTTGTAATCTCATGGATCAGAAACTCATTCGTAATGGTATTTATCTGAAATTATATAATGCAAAAACACAAATCTCTTATGGAAAATTTAATAATTAATTGACTTAAGAATTTAAATAATTTTTATTTTTAAAATTTAAAGTGATCAAGATAATAAAGTTTTTAATGATTTTCAGGGTTGATATTGTTATTGCAAGACCACAATGTAATTTATTTATATAATGCTTCTCTTTATGTAATTTGAATATCTTATTGAATTATTTTTCTCTCAAGATTGTTTGTAGGAGTGAAAATCCCATTGATAAAGTTGTCAAAGAAAAAATTTCAAATTTCTGCCATGTACCACCAGAACAAGTAAGTTAACTTTATCGATTTATTATTTTTTTAAATAAAAAACATTATTGTGTAAAGATTATATATTGTTAAAATATAAATCATGAAAATTATGGCTAGGTGCTTCTCTATGGTAAGATGATGTGAGTACATACGTAACAAAGATTGTATTTTAGCAATGTAAATTGATAAATGGTTTCTTAAATGCGTATTTAGCAAATTTTTTCTCGTATTTTTTAAACTAAGTACATGTTCACTTAGATGAGTTTTTTAAAAAAGGTGTTTATTTCATATGGTTTTGATTTATAAAGTATTTTTCAAATAAACTTAAGAAGTCCAGAATAATATTAGTGGAATATAAATTATACTTTAAGTAAAAATGAAATTGAAGTTTTGCTTTTATTTGAAAATATGTGCACTTTTTAAATAGATAAATTGTAGCTCTTCCTGGCAAAGCTGCATATGAATCCACCATTTTGTTTTTTATCCACCAATTATTTTCTCTACTATCTGGTTAATCCAAATGGAAAAATACAGTGAATGTGTAACATTCACAATTTTCATGAAATATACTATTTTGGGACAAAAATCAAAACAGCACACCCTCCTTTAACGTCGAAAGCTTTTTTTGGAAGTCCGTAGACTATATATTTTATGATGTTCCTAGTCAAATTTTAGTGGTCTTGGATTAAAGGTCATCATTAATTTTAAGCCCTGAAAAGGTTGAGTGTTTTTCTTGTACTTCTGTGAGTAAAAACTTTTCATATATACCTCAATTACTATCTTGATAGGGAGCATGTTTTTTTTTCTCATTTTTTTCAACAGTTATTCAAAATTGTTTTTTAGTTTAATCCCATCAAGAGTTTCAATGTTTTTATATGTTTGTGACGCTCAGAGCTGGTAAACTGAAATTTCATTTTTTTAACTCGTGTTATTTATTAAAAAAAAATTCAATTTTTTCCAAGTCTATGCTTAAACACTTTATTTTACTTATAAATTATTCTATACATAACGAAAGAATAAAATTAAATATAAAACAGCAAATTTTCTTTTTACAACAGTTTTTATCTCTGTTAAATATTTTTTGTGGTTTTATCAGAAAGTTTTAACTTTTTTCGGAGAGTTCTAACACATTTTTTATTGTGATAATTTTAGATGAAATTGTTATAATTTTTAAAACCAACTTTTTCTCATCCATCTTTTAAATATTCTTCTTTATAGGTTGTGTGCTTACATGATGTGAAATCTGTATATCATGTTCCAATGTTTATGGAAGGACAAGGAATGGTAGAATTTTTCCATGATCGTTTACAGCTACCTCTAAGAACTCTAACTTTATCTGAAGAAGGTAAAAATCTTTCTAAAAAATGGGAAAAACTTGTCCAAAGAATGGATCATCATATAAATGAAGTAAAAATTGCGTTAGTTGGAAAATATACTGGCTTAGAAGATTCCTATGCTTCTGTCATAAAAGCTTTGCAGCACGCAACTTTAGAGTGCAGTGTAAAGTTGAATTTGAAAGTAAATATTTTAAACACATTTACTAAATTTCTTTCATGTATTGTTTAGTGAATATTAAAGTCAAAAAGGTTTATTGCCTTCTAAACATTACCTGCCTTTGACAAAAAAAACTTAGATGATAGATTTACAATTTATGAGAATTGCTTAAATCAGTTAATTTTTTAGTTAGCTTTCATATCATATATTAATATTCAAATTAAATAATACTATTTATGTTTTATATTGCATATTAGTATTCACAATTTATGTGAATTGTGTGTTATGAGTACATTAATGCAATTACTAAATTTGTTTCATCATGTATTGTATTGTAAACATTAAAAGTCATAAAGGTTTATTGTCTTCTAATCATTATCTGTCTTTTACAAAAAAAAATTGATAGTCTACAATTTATGTGAATTGCTTCGCATTTAATTTTTTTAGCTAAATTTATATAAAATATTAATGTTTAAATTAAACAATACTATTTAAGTTTTATATCACAATTTATGTGAATTATTGTGACATTTAAAATTTAACACTTTACTTAACTTTTAATTTATATCAAATATTAATATTTATAATTAATGTGAATTGCTGTGTCATTTAAAATTTTGCATTTTAACTTTTATATATTAGTGTTTAAATTAGATAACACTTTAAATTTTATATTCTTATATTAATATTTTTGTAATATTTGAAATTTTATATTTGCTGTAATTTAGTTTTCAAAACTAAAAATCAAATAAATAATCTTCTTACTTATAAGCTGGAAAATAAACACAGAGATTGCAAATTCTAATTACATGTTAAGAGTAAATATTTTTATGACCATTGATAAATTATTATCAATCAAAAATTTGAAAGACTCAACTTCATATAAATCATCAACATTGGTGACACGACAGCCCAAGATGAGTCTTTGCTTTTTTTTTAGAACATTTTTTCCAGTCAACTATTTCGCAGTTCAACTTTTCGCATTTAACTAGGGTCAAAATCTTCTTTAGATCTTCGCTATGAAAGATTTTTTTTGCCCTCACCTTTTTTCCCTTTTTAACTGTCCAAATTTGACTTTATTTATTATTATTCTTTTCTGAGTGAGTGATACACCAAGTTTCTCCCATTCCTCCCCATTGAAAAATCAGTGGAGTATACACTCTTTTAACTTCATTCTTTTATAAGGTAAATCATTTGTTTTATTTAATAATTTCTTTCTCTATTGTTGTGAGGATTGCATTTTAATAGTTACTTACCTCTTCCTTAATATATATATCACTGCCTAAAAGTCTATCTTCTCTACTGAATTTTCCTCTCTTTTGTATATCTACTTTTTTTACCCCTGTGCAACATCTAAATTTTGTTGTAAAATTTAGAGTCAGTGTTAATATTAAGACGCTAATTACTTTCTCTTTTTATAGTTCATTGCTGCTGCTGATCTTGAAAAACCTGATTGTGAAAGCAGTCCGAAAACAGATAATGATCTTGAAACTCTCACTCAAAAAACCATGCGATATCATGAAGCTTGGCAAAATTTATGCAAAGCTGAGTATGTATTTACACATTACATTTTGTTCAAAGATTAAATAAGTAATTTATACTTACAGATGTGTAAGTTTAAACTAGTATATAATTAGGTGCTTTAAAGTTAATTACTATTATTATTGTAATTACAAAGTAATTAGAAAATATTTGAACAATTAGTATTTTAAAATTAATTACCATTGTTAAATAATTATTACACAACCTGTCTTTAAAAGTAATTACTATACAGTTACTAATTTGAAAGTAATCTATACTTACAGTAATTTATGCTTACAGATTTTAGGAAAAGTTATTGTTTTCAATATAGTACGCATTTTTATTGAATCAGCATAATACATTAAAATGCATTATAAAACTATAGTTTTACTTGTTCAAATATATATATATTTGAAAGTTTATTATATAACTATTTTACTATTTTTTTATACTTCATTTTGTTTAATCAAGCAAAATATGCCATTTTCTGCTCCTCAAAATCTTGAAACTTTATTTTAGTAATATTAAGTGTTTAAGATTATTACAGTGCACTATTTGCCATTTATGAAATTCGCATTTGTTCAAAGGGTATTTGACTTTAAAAACCAGCATACCTATACTTCAAAGTAAAATTTCTCCTTGTTAAATTTTACAAATACTCAAAAGCTAAATTAATTCCTGCATTTATATTAAATTTTTATCTTATTTTAGCTGTTTTTATTTACATTTAACATTTTGATTGAATATGAACTACATTTACAGAATATTGGTATGTTGTTATTTGATTTTCACAATTTAAACTTAAAGATGCAACATTATTTGTTTTAACATTCAAATCCTGACATTTAAACATAACACTAGCATACAAATCTTACTCCAAATAAAAAAAAAATAATAAAAATGTTTATAGTTTGTTTTATTTTTATTCTTACAGTGGAATTTTAGTTCCTGGAGGATTTGGTTCTAATGGGTCTGAAGGAAAAATGGCAGCAATCAAATGGGCCAGAGAAAATAAAATTCCATTTTTAGGTACTCTTGCTTAAGTATATAAAAATACATTTTTATTTTACTTTTTACTTATATTTTTTAATTATTCATTTTGTAACAGAATTAATTTGTAGAAGTAATTTATTGATTGGTGATTTGCATTGTCTATTACAGTCCAAATAATTTTTTAAATATTTTTTGTTTAGCTTTATGATAAATAGAAGAAAAAAAAACTTTTTAATCAAAAATTTCCTCAGCGCTGCCCAAGTCTCTCTACCCCTCCCTCATGAACTTTGACAGATTTGGACATTTTCTGCATGCTTTGATTTTATTTCACTGAGTTTTTTAAAAACTTTTGCTTAGTGCTGTATATTCATTGCTAGCTATTGTGATATAAGTATTAAATATTTATCTGCACTATTGTATGGATATTTTTTATTTTATTAAACTCAGCAATTAATCAATCAATTATAAGTTAGGATACTCACTTACTCTTATAATTTTTTTTTCTTCATATTTTTTAATGTTTATATATTGTATAGCAAAATTTTCATTTTGCAACAAAAAAATTTTTTTCGCCACTTGTTTATAAGTTATACTTTATATACATAAATCATGTATTTACATGAATGTGCCACATTTTTGCCAGTGCAGTTCTTCAATAACACAAAATCTGGTTTTTATTACCTGATTTATGTAACTGTTGTATTAGAAAATATTGTTTCTTTATGATCCAATAGGAATTCATTCTGGAAGTTTCAAAATAGGAAATAAGTAAAATATTTTTTTTCTGAAAAAAGATAAAATTTCAATTTGGGGTTTTTTTTAAATTTCAGCAAATTATTTTGAACTCTAGTATTTATTTATTTTTTAATGTCTGTAATTCTAGTTTTTTAGTTATTTTTAATTCTAGTTTTTATTTATTTTTTAAAAATCTTTAAATTTAATATATATTTTATAAAATGATTTTAAATAATAAATAAAATAAAAATTAAATGTAGTAAAATTATAAATGGTGTTTTTTATTATAAGATCATTTTCAAAACTATATATCTTGGAAACAAATGATTTAAAAAATCCAAAAATTTTATATTTTTTATATAATCTGCGACTTATACCCGTGAGCTGAAAGTAAGCAATATAACATGTAGATTTTGTGTGGAATCATCTTTTTATTCTTGCATTTATCTAAACTAACAAGTGCATGTTTTTTGTTCTAGCATTTATCTGATCCAAAATAAATTTTTTTAAATGAAAAATTGTATAAGTAAAAATGAATTCAGTTTTTGTAACAGTTCATTATTATTACAAACTTAAAATTTTTGAGACAGATCTTTTCAAGCCCTGTGGAATCTTCGCCTATGTTGTAATAAATTCCAATCAACTGATACTCTTAAATTTTTAAATATATGCAGTACTAAGCAGCAGTGTTATCAGAGATAGCTTTTTAGAGAATAATTTCTTTCCTTTTCTGTTATTTGAGAAATGAAATTTCGAATAGGGGAGTGCACTTAACACAGCTTTTTTTTTTAAATATAAATTATCACCATTGATAGTGTAGATTTTTTTATTACTAGCATATTAAATTATTCAAAGTTAACACTCCAGAATTATCTATGGAATGATATTTCCAATTTTTTTAAAAATTCTATTATCAGATAACTAAGTTTCTAAAAGTCACTAAGTATTAAATAGTGTCTGAAAATGCATGGGAAAAAGTTGTATTTTAAGTATTTTTCCTAATTATCTTTGTTACTTTTATGCCTAGGAGTTATTTGAATTTTAAATATGTATATCTATTTTGTTTAGGGATATGTTTGGGTTTTCAATTAGCTGTTGTGGAATTTGCTCGCAATGTAGTAGGGTGGGAGGATGCAGATTCATTTGAAATTGCTCAAGACAGATTGAGCAAAAAAGGTCTTGTAAGTATATTTTTGTGTTCCTAAAGAACTAATGTACATTTTGGTATATTTCTGTTACGTTAAGCAATATTGTTTAAGTATGTTTAATTTTGAATATTTATTTCCATATTTTTGAAATTATTTTAGAGTCAAGAAAATATTGATAGCGAATTGCGGAACAAGAAGCATGTTGTATGTATTCTTAAAATTTTATATATATATATATTAATAACAATATATTTTTATACATCATGTGGTTTTTAATTTTTAGGCTTTAATATTTCTATTTCGATGCTGTTTTGCCTTTTTGTTTATTGCCCTTTAGTTTCTCTATAGCTTTGATGTGAAATATTCTTAGTTTTCCCTTTTATAACTTTTTCCGCAGTTAAAACATTATTTTTAAATTAAATGGCATATTTTCCTTTTAGCAATTGTTTTAGGAAAGTTTCAAAATTTTTTGGGGTTGCTAGTTATTTTGCAGCTGTGGATTCTAAGTGGAGTGAAATTGTTTGGAATTTTTTTTACTTCTGGAAAAATAAATGCTGCTGTATTTTGTCATTGTGTATTACAGTCTAAAACTCGTAAATCCCAAAATGTTAAAACTATGTGAATAAATAAAAAAAAAATTTAAAAATACTGAGCATTCGGTCATTTGTAACTCTCTCTAAACGTACAGCTAGGATTATCAGTTTTCGTAAAAACAGTGAAAATAATCATACTGGCATTTTTAATAGCATTAAGTCTATGCTTAATGCATTTAATTTTCAATTTTAGTTCAGAAAACCATAATGTGAAATATGTACACAATTAATGTATTTAAAATAATTAATAGCATTGTTACTGTGCGTTTTTGATAGTACGGTAAAGATAGTCCAAAATTCGTCGAAGCCTGTATATTCAGAAAGTTTTAACCAGTCAGTAGTTGTTAAGCATTCTCTTTTTAGTAAGTGGTTGAAAATTGCGTGAAAGAAAAAGAAAATTAAGGAAGAACCAAATACTAGTAAAATCTAGACATATTGGGTATTGTTTCTGATGTTAGGTACAGTCCTGATTAGATATTTTTTATGAGTATGAAGGAATAGGATAAATAATTAAGAAATTATAATAATTTCATGTTAAAAACATATAATGTTTGACTCATACCTATTTATGCAACGAACATAGTTATCTTGTCAAACAACAAGCTGTGTACTTCTTTTTGTTGTTGCTGTCTATACAAGTGAAGTATTGTTTCCTGTGTGTGTGTGCGGGTGCGTTCGTTCATTTTTAAATAAATGAAATGAATCTCAATTCATTGACTCTACTAGTATAAGAGTTTTAGGTATAATATATCCTATTTTTTTACTTATTTACAGTGTTGACATTGCTATTTAGACAAGTAAGGCATTATTTTCATGTATATTTGCACTCTCAGTGCAATATGACCAAATATAAGACAATGGCGATAATTTTTAGGTAATCATGGTTTTAATTGCAAACAGTATATGATTTGTGCTTACATACACATCTGGTAGCTACATGAACAAGTGAAGTGTTTTTGATGCACATTTTAATGCTGAATCATGTACGACAAATTAAGAATAAAATAAAACTAATAGTTAAATTGTTTATCTTATCAACTTGTACTTGATCTTGATTCATTTTAAAAAAAAAAAAAAAAAAAAAACATTAGAAGCAATATTTTTTATGGCTAGATGTCTACTAGATAGTGTATCAAAAGAGTAAATTGATACAAGTCAAAGAATAATTTTTCTACACTAAAATCTTTGTAATTTTTGGACTTAGTTTTTTGTGGTTTTTATATTTAAAATGATTATTATTTCTTAACTGTTAGTTCATTGTCTTATAGGATTCATCTGAAAAAAATTGTTAAAAACAATGCCTTATTTGTTAAGAAACCTATAAAATTTCTCCTATTTGCCCTCGATCCTCTCTTGCTAAAACTTGACTCACAAGGTAGTGCAATTTTTTACCTCACACTGAAAAGTGTACACTCCAAAATTTAACACATTGTTAGAACATAACTTTTTTTTTTACACATCAGAATTTAGTCTTATATTTTACTGTACTATTAATATTCTTATAAGTAAAAGTCTAGCATGTATAATAAGTAAGGAATTTCTTTTTTTTCTCCATCTGAGTAATAATAACAAGTGTTGCTTTGTGCTCTTATATATATGCAATATGTTAACATTACTGTTCAGCCCTATTGTGAATTTATAAATTTTTTTTTCTTTATAAAATAATATTTGACATCTTTTCTGTAGATAATTGAGATGCCCGAACACCATACTGGAATAATGGGAGGAACAATGAGACTTGGGAAAAAAGTTACAATATTCAAAACAAATGATTCAATTCTAAGTAAGTTTAAATTTGTGGTTTGATGTTGATTTTGTAAAGTTTTGTTGCAAGGTAACTTTAAAAGTTTTTAATGTTTTACAAATAAGCTTATCTTATGTAGTTCATTCAAAATTTTTACTGCATTGAATTTTAACAATTTGTTTTAAAAGAATGTATGATTAATTTTTTTAACTGGTTTATAAAATTTTAAAAAATTACATTGTGAAAAATAATTATGAAATACATATTCAGTTATACCAAATATATAATTCTTCAATAATATTTTATAAAATTACATTATATATTATAAAAGAACATTTTAAGTTAAACTGAATAATTTATTTTATTTTACTATAATATTTTATTAAATTACGTTGTAAAGAATAATATTTCCAGCTTCAATGATACAATACTAATTAAATTCATTTTTCATTAAAAATTATGTAATATATTGTAAAAAAAGGCACTTAGAGATATAATATTAAATTAATACTTTCTACTTCATGGGTAATTAAGTTTCATCGCAATAAATATATTTCTTTGAAATACATTTTTTTAAGGATACAATATTGAGTAAGTTGCTTTTTTTTATGTTTTGTAAAATTAAGTTGTAAAGAATAATAATTAAATACATTTTCATAATGCAATACTAATTAAACTCATTGCTGATATTCTGGGAACAATTTTGTTAAAAATGTTTAGTGATATAATATTGATTTAACTTATCGTCTTTTATTTTTCAATGGTAATTTTTTTTATTACATTACGAAAAAAAATTACTTTAAGACACATTTTTAATTTCACTTTACCAAATGAGCTATTTTCTATTTCTTCAAAAAGTTATTTCATAAAATCACATTTTAAATGATATTAAGCTAGTTAGGCTTAGTCTTTGTTTCATTATAATGATTTTGTAAAGTTACCTTGCATTTGAAAAAATAATTTTGTTCCAAAATTTCCTTTGATTATGTGACTATTGTTTTTGTTTTAGGATCCCTATATAAGAAAGATGTCATTGAAGAACGTCATAGACATCGTTATGAAGTGGATAAGAATTATGTTCCTGAAATCGAAAAAGGAGGTCTCAAATTTATTGCAGAAGATGAAACTGGTGAACGTTTAGAAATTTTAGAATTACAAGGTAATATTAAAATACTTATTTAGTGTTTTACCTTATTTAATACTTGGATTATTAAATCAAAATTTCTTTAAAAATTTGTTTTTGGAATTTGTTTAATCATTTTTATTTCTTTTGAATGAATAATTATTTAACCTTTATTGAGGCTTGAAATTAATGATGGTTTGCTCATCTGACTGGACCATTTAAAATTGGCTCAAAAAGAGATGCTGGTGCTCAATGCTGTATTACCAAACCATGAATTATTTAAATGCTAAATATAATATTTTTCGCTTATTTTGACCTAAATTAATACAAATAATGAAGAAAATATCTTTTATAAAAATTCTGCATCAAAGGGCTAATCAGGAACTGTTTTGATAGGCTGCCATTTAAGAATATTTTTGAAAATTCTACACGCTTTCTTGATTTTTGTATTATCTAAGACATAACATGTTTTAATTCTTTGTTTATCATTTCAGATCATCCTTATTTTGTTGCTGTTCAATTTCATCCTGAATATATGTCTAGACCTATGAAACCTTCTCCCCCTTACTTAGGATTCATATTAGCATCCTGCAATAAACTAAAATATGTTCTTGAAAAAGGTGATATATTTTAATATTATTTATTTATTTTATAGTGTTAATTCATGTTAAATTTTTTATTTATTTATTAATTTTTTGTTGATTTTAAATTTTTTTTCAAAAATATTCATTAAGTTATCAATAATATATAATATTTAATTTGCTGAAGGAGCGTAAATATGTAAATTGTTTTAAATGAAACTATATATTCTTTTAATTCTGAGACTATAACACTCTCAAACTAGCTAGACTATTATTTGTAAACCAAATAATATTATTTATTTGTTCTTGTTTTTTGTTTCTTGTGATTTGCTTATAAGTTCTTAAGAATTGTTCATTTAAATGAATTTTTAGTGTAAAAGGAAATTGTGTAATGTATGGGCCTGGGTCGCGACACAAATTCGTTATGGAAGAAATAAAGGGAAACAATTGCCTATATACAATAATTATTAATCATAGTGATGCTTTTAAGTAAATAAAGAAGTACTTTTGAAGGACTTTTGAATTTCCCACTATTCGAGTGTGTGTGTTTTTTCCTCAATGAAACGTAACTAACTGGCATTAGGATCTTCTATGAATCAGCATAAATTTTTTTTTCTCCTGGGAATTTTGTTTCAAAATATATGAAAATTGTTCATAAATTGACATTTCCCCCCTGATCTTTGATTTACAGTTCACAAAGTTAAAATTCAAGCTCTTTTTTTTTAATAACTTTTTATTTGTGACAGATGGTTTTTGATTTTATAAATGATTTCTAACTCAAAATCAAGACCCATGATGTGTCAAATAAAATTTAGAGAGATTGTTATAGTTTTAAAAAAAAATAATTAAATATTAAGTTTTTTTTTATTATTTGAAAACAAATGATATTAATACAATAATTTTATCTGTGATAAAGTATTTAGAGTTATCCATTTAAATGCTTTTCATTTTTCAAAAAAATAAGAAGTCAGGTCTTCAAATTTGCTCAAGCTTCTATCCAACTAATATTTTGAATTTCATTGCAGGTACTATCCCTCAATATGATTCAATATATTCAGATGATGAATGTGATAGAATAGAAAATAAAATTGAAGCAAATGAATCATTGCCCACATCAATCACAAGTAATTATTCTTTCTTATTTCCATCTTTATTTTTTATTATAATTTAGTAGTTCTTTCATTTCTGTTGTTTGCCTTCCACAAAATAATGCAAGAAAATACATTTTTCCTTCTTATTTCTTTTTTTCCCTGAATATTCAACTAAATAAAAAAAAAATTATTGTTCTTGACACTGTTCAAAAGTGATTGTATTCCGTGTGTACCCCAGATTTTCTAGTTTTTTGTATCATCCCTCCAGGCTTAGAAACTAAGAGCAGGGCGTGTGATTTATTGCCGAATCTCTGCGGAAAAAAACTTATAAAACGACAAAATTTTCACCACAGTCTAAAATTTAATATAAGAGTTTGGTGATCTAAAATTTACGTTTCGAAACTTTCACTAAATCGCGTAAGCGAGACGTTTTCATGCACATAATTTTTACACCAATTTTTTTTTATTTTGTCAGATTTTTTTTAAACAGCACGATTCATATTCACATGATTTTAATGTCAAACAACGAGTTTTGTATTTAACTGATTTAAAAGTTACACTTGTGAATCATATTCACACGGTTTAAAAATCCAATATGGCAATTCGTATTTACAATATATTGTATTTACAATATATTGTATATACAATATATTGTATATATTTACAATATGTTGTATTAATAAGAAATTAATATACAATCAATATCTGGATTTGAATTTATGCAAGTTTAAAATCCAATGTCACGATTCGTGTTTATGTGATTTAAAAATTCAATATAACCATTTGGTAGGGAATAATCTTAGCTCAAATCTTAATAATAAATAAATTATAAATCTTAGCTCAAAAAATTATGTTGAATATGACTAGTATAGAAATTGATATCTTGTTATCGAGTTTTTGTGCATAAAATTTTCAGGGTTTTTTACTTAGTGTCACAATCACCCATGACTGTTATATTTATGTTGTATATCAATTTCTGAATTTATTCAGCTTTAATTATTGATTTATTTTAATGCAGTGTAAAACCTTTTCAAGCTTGTTATCATTATAATCTCATAATGAAAAAAAAAAGTAAGAAGGTGTTATAAAATGTAATAAAACAGACTGTAAGATTATTTTAAAGCTTTTTATAGTAAATTAAATATACACACAATATTATCTTTATTTTTTAAATAAGGCTTTTAACTATTCAGTTCATGCTGTTTGTAATCTTTCATTATATGAATTTCCTTAAGAATCAAATGCGCCTTAATCCATATTGAAGTAATAAAAAAAATCATTCTTAAAACAAAAAAAATCAGTTATTAAATTTCTTACAGCGCAATCGTGCACTGGCTTCTGGAACAAAATCATTTAAGCTTATTCTAATTTTTTTAAGAATGCGAAATTTGTTTATACTTTTTCAATAAAACATTTAACAATTCATATCATGTTGGTAATATTTTATTAGATAAATTTTTTTAGTGAATAATGCCAAATTAAATACAGTAAAACTTGTGTAAGTTGACCACTTGTGGTGCATTGTTTTAGTGGTCAACATATAGAGGGGGTGGGTCATTGTTTACTTTTTCGTTTCCTATATCATGTTGCTATATATTTAATATTTTTTTTTTTTTACTTGACTTAAAAATTTTATTCAGAAAATATGCAAATGAATATCTTAAGAAATGTGTTTAAACCTGAATGAACTTCAATTTGATACATATAATTCTAATATTTAACTAATTTTTTTTTAAAGATTATTTCGTTAGTTGTGCATGTGAAGTGTTAAATAAATATAATTTCTTAAAATATCAGAACACGAAAACATGTAATTTGAAAACTTTAACAAAATAAAATTATTTGAACACTTTAAAATTTATTTACTACACTTAAAGATCAAAGACCATAAATAAAGGATCAAAGCATATTTCAGAGCATTCATTTATTCAAATGCTCACTATTGCAACTGGAAGAGCAACTTTTCAACTAACACACCTGTTTTCAATGAACGGATGAAAGAAATGGTCAAAAGCTGACCCCTTACAGTTTCCCCTGATGGTCAACTCACAAAAGGGTTTAGATTAGCTTTTTACACTATTTCACCAAACAAGTGAAATTTTAACATACATTGCAAAAATGACAGAAAATTTTCTGATTTTTTTTTCTGGTCAACTTATGAGGGTTTTAGAATAGAATTTCATAATACTCCTAGACAAAATTGACTTATTTCAGTCGTCAACATACAAGATAGACAGGTGGTCAAGCTACAAAGGTTTTGCTTCGTTATATTATGTAGGAAAAATTCCGTTCTTGATAATTTAGGTCAACTTATGCAGGTGCCCAACTTACAAGGGTGGTCAACTTGGCAGGTTTCACTGTACTAGATAACAATGTAGAAAATTTGAAGTTTAAAAAAAAAAATAGTTTTTAAAAATTAAGTTTAGTAGAAGCTTAATTTACAAATATTTTTGTTAATTAAAGTGTGATTCCTTTTTTCTTTTTGCATATGTATTTATTTTTTCCTCTCCCTTTAACCTCCTCACTCAATAATATTCTGTCATAATTCAGCCCCTACTGAATCTTTTTTTTCTTTTCTTGCATTCATCTCTTTGTTTTTGTTTTTTATCATTTATAAATACTTCATTGTAAATGAATTTTAAAATATCTTTATACCTGTTTTACAAATCGAAGTTTGTTTAAATCGAATTTTATTTTAAATACCATGTAGCAGTATTATTCTCAAAACTTGAGTTTCAGAATTTATTGATGAGTATGGATTGAAAAATGATATTATCTCAATTGATCTGAATATTTTTACATAGCTGCCAACTGTTTTGAATTTTTTGGATTTGTTCCTAATTTTTAAATCAATTCTGATATTTTTTATAAAAAATCTGAATTTTCATAAAATTGCAGTATATTTGCTTTTTAACCAATCTCTTATTCTGATCGCTGCAACCACGCTTAATGTGTTTATTGTAAGTAATTTTTAGTAGCTTTTTATTAGGAAATACTATTCCAATAGCTGTTGCTGATCATTTCACTAAGATGAATCTTTAACAACTATTATTTTTTTTTTTAATTTATTGTAGTATTTTAACACTTGCATCAGAAATATTTGTTTATGATGTAGATTATTATTTACCTGTGTTTTATAATTTTGAGAAGAATAATTATATATTAATAGGTAATGGTTGTTTTTAAATTATTATACCGGTATTCCTAATTATAAAATATTAATATTATTTATTTCCCACAAAAGATAGTGTTTCTAGTTTTGTTTTACTAATTTACGGTATTTAAATATATGTCTATTAATGTTTTTATTTAATAGTTAAATTTTAGTCTTATTCTCGTAATTTTTTGCGTATTATTTTGTCACATATAGTGTTCCTAATTTTTGATTCCTAAGGTTGGCAGCTATGTTTTTATGATCCAAAGTAGGTATCATCCCAATTACTTTGGATTATATATGTCCTAATATAGTAGGAATGTTTTGTCTGAGGTGCCAACTATTACGATTTATCTGTAATTATTATGATTTTATAGTTAAGAGACCAATCTTGCAGTTGCTATTTTTGAGACTTTTCGTTCTAATCTTTGAATCTATTATCTACGGTGTTTCCACCCCCCCCCCTCTTCCTGTTTATTAAGAAATTTCAAAAAATAATACAAAAAAGGAAAATGATTAGATAGAAACAAAAAGAGATCTTAACAAATTATATAAAAGTTAATATATTTTATACTCTGACATTTTAGTTCACCTATCAGATTTAAAATACCTTTTAATATATAAATTGGCATAAAAACTTCTTTTTTTTTCTCATTTTAGTGATTAATTTCATCAAATGTTTTACATTGTATCAAATAAATATTTTATGCTTACAAATACTATTTTTTTCTCTTTAGGTCATGCAAAATAGTGTTAGCAGAGAAATTTATAAAAATTCTATTGAAATGTACATAATTATGTGCTAATAAATATTTTTTGACATACATTATTGTATTTTTTTATAGATCTAGTTTTGTTAGCATTAGAAAACGTATTTCATAAACAGCTTTCAGTTGTTACTATCTTTTCTAAAGCCTATGTTTCTAAATTCATTGAAAAGTCATTTAGAACCTTACTCTTCAGTTTTCAAAGCAAAACATTCATTTTTTAATGGGCCTTAGGTAGTTAAAATTAAAGCTATTATATAGTTAAAATTTAAGAAGATTTTCATCAAACTTGTCATTTTAACTTTTTATTTATCTGAAAATAATTTCTCATACAAAATAAAATAAAGGATTTATTTTTATACTAGGTAGCCACAGAACAGGGAAAGGTCTGTGAATTTTATCAATCAAGAAGGATTAGTGAATGTAATTAAAATATCCAAAAAGCCTTAGAAAATGAATTAATTGAGATATCTAAATTTCAATATCTTGTCCAACAAGAAATTGGTCTTGTATCATTTTTAGAACAATTTTCCTTTTTTTTTTTTTTTAAATGCTTATTTTCAACTCCAGAACTTCTCTTGTTTAAGTTAGGTGTTCCTTACATCAGGGGTTCCCTTGTTTTCTGGGTTGGATTAAAAATTGCAAGGCTACGGTGTTGAACATGGATAGTCATAAATTCAAAATTAGGTCTGCTGTTCCATGACAGTCATACAATTTATTTATTTTTTAAAAATAATCAATCTGCTAATTGACAAAATATTTTATACAATTATCCTAGATTTTTTTTTTTTAAAAGTGCTGTTAACAGCTTTTGTAACTGATTGATCATGCCGACAATAGACTTTTGAAAAAGAAACATCAATGTTCTCAAAATAGGTATTCTTTATTGTTCATAAAGATGTACAATTAATTATACTTAGATCAAAATAACATTTTCAGAAATAAAAATTGAATCTATAAATTTAAATATAAATAATTAATATTATAATTAATACATCCATGAATAAACATTTCTGCCTTTCTCTGATGGATAATATTAAGTACACAATAAATTTGCATGACAAGTTTTAAATAGTTTTTTTACTAATGTATCCCATTCTTCTGAGTTTGAGACTCACTAAGCTTCCTTTTTGTTTTGAGGTGTTGTACTTTCAACTGATAGCTCTCTGTTAGCCACTAAAGACCTGAAAATAAATATTTTGTGAGAGATTTTGCTCAGTTACAAACAAAATTCTTAGTAGAGCCAGAATTTGAGATAAGAATAGTTAGTTTATGATTTCTAATAAATGTTTAGCAAATAAAAAAACTCTTAACGTTTTAGATTATTTCGGCTAAGGTGTGGGCATATTGTGACTGTATGAGCTCTAAGTTTTTAAATCTGCTTCTATATCGCTTGAATAATTGCCTCCTACCTGAATGTTGTAGGTTTTAATTTCTTTTTCAGATAATTTTTTTTTACTTTTCATTAGTTTCTGACTGCTAAATACATAATTACACACATGCTTTCATATATTTTAGAGTCTTTCTTTAACTACACTTTTTTTTCTTTTTTTTTTACGACAGTCTTAATTTAAAAAAAATATTTTGCAACTCCTTAATGGCAGAAAAATCAGTATTTAAGGGTGACAGCTTCTCTGTTTAAAGACAAAGTTTTTTGGCATGTTGGTAAAAATAATATTTTTAAACTCAGCAAAGCCCAACTGTAACGAAGATAATTTTACTGAATTAAGGGATGTAAACGTAATTTACAAAGACAATGAATGAAAATGACGAAGAAGAATGAGACATCGTAATGAACTAAAGAATGAGTCACCATGTTCTTCTGATACAGACTAAACACTTGCTATTGATGTTTTAAGCAGATATCTTATCCAATGTGGAAATGTGCTAAAAAAAACTAGGAAAAAAATCTTACAATGAGACCGCAATTAAAGCAATCAAGAAATAAGTCGACTAGTTATTGTTTTAAAAAAATAAAATTAAACGAGCTTATTTATTACAAAATAAATTATCAGTCACAAGAATTTTTAATGAGGAACAAAGGAAAGAAAAGGCGAAAAACTGGTAAGAAAACAGAAATAGGTCTTGTGTATATACAGTTTATAATAATAAAAGATATTGGCAGAATGTTTGTAATTTAAAAATTATAAGGAAAACTTACGGATGATCCGCAGCTATTTTCTTTGTTCCAGTACTCATTAAAACGAAAGGTAATTCAGCTACAACCTCCCTAGAAAAAAAAATGATGATGATTTAAAGTACGTAGCTTGTAAATGATGCTAATATGTTGAAGAATTCATTCAATTACAGATAAAAAATGAGTATAAATGGAACATAGTGGGATTTTTAAACAATAACCTATATAACCAATAATCTTTATCCATCATAGGTAACATAAGGCCTTCAGTCTGGTTTTTCTTGTTAACCGCCATCATTCTTGCCACCTGCTGAAAGGTTAATCGAGCCTCACTTATCTCTCCTCATCATACTGTCCATGTTATTGCGAGTGACCTATTTAACGTTCTGGTGCCTAATCAAAGGCAACACTAGAATTCCACATTAATGTAATAATCTATTGCAGTCATGTTGTTGTTATTGCATATCTCCGTTGTTTAGCAACGCTACATCTGGTTTGTGAAATTTGTGTCTTTGAAAATCCAATGCTAGAATTAGGTTTGTGAAAAGATCTGGTCTGCAGAGCCCCAGACAATTTAATATATGGTCAGGGGTGGCTAGATGGTCAGCGCACACTTCACACTGGTTAGGAAAATCCTTTTTATTGCAGTCATAATTAATTTAAAACAAATAAACCAGCTGATATTCTTTTAGCTACGGCATGAGTCATACTCTTCAGGGAAAACATGGGAATCTTAATTTAAAATTAGTTCAGTGGAAATAAAAATTCTTTCTTAACACCTGGGGGAAAAAAAGCTAAAACCCTGTAAAAATTACTTTTGTAATTTTTTGCTAACTCTCTTCCCATAAAAGCCAGTTGCTATTCCTGCCTAGCCAAACGCTCCGTACCATGGAGTGAACTGATTCGAATAACCCTGATGTATTTCAGACATGTCCAAGTCGTCTTTGTAAATGAGCAATGTCTATATATGTATGAGTAAAAATAAATAAATGCAAAAGTCGTTAGTTTTTTAATGCAAATATGTCATACGATCTTTTCTGGATGGTACAACGATTCAAGATTTTTTTAATTTAAAAAAAAAAAAAAAACAGGTTTTGCTGAAACATAAAACTGTATAGGACTAGTTCTAGTACAGTTTATTGTAACTGCAACGTTTGAATAATTTTTTAACGATGCAATTACTACTCTAATGACGATTTTGATGTAAACTAAAAGTAGGAGGTTAAATTGTTGAAAATCAATTACAAGTTTGATTTATAGGGGTCTCAACATCTTCTTAAAACCGGAAGTTATTTAAACTTCCTGTATATCCCTTTTACGTTTACGAGGCGATGAAGTCCTATAAATAGAACGTATATAGTACTCGTTTGAATAAGCTTGATTCTAGGATGATTTAGTATTGTGATTTGTGTTTAAATTTACGTCTAATTTTACCATGCATAAAAAAGCTTTCTGTAATTTATAAATTTTAAAAGGTCTTGAGCCATAAATAAAATTAGGAAAATTAATATCGCTACATAAATAAAGCGTAAGGTTTACCATATTTTGTGTAGTATATCTCACTTGGATATATTTGTATAAAATATCGCCATTTGTTATTTTTTTGGGTTGCATCACGACATGCTTTAGAAGTTGTTCAAATTTGTTTTCTGCTAAAATTAAACGGACTAAGCTGAAGTTAAAATGAAAGAACGTGTCCTATTGTACTACAAGTATATTAATATTGACTGGCGCCCATTTTCAAACCGAATCCCGAATTAACCCGAATCCGGAATTCTTACGACGAATAGTAACTAAAAAAAGCAACTCGTGCTTAGCTTCATACAGTCAACCATTCATATAAAGCCGTAGTGGCTCTGCGGATAGTGCGCTCGCCTCCCAATGAGGTGCGTGCCTGGGTTCGAATTCCAGTGATGGCTGGTTGATACGAATTCCGCACCGACCACAGTGCTGATGTGAAATATCCTCAATGGCAAACGGATGATGGGTTAGAGTCCCTTTGCCTTCAGGCTAAACGTGGTAGGCTTTCGCGGTTTTTCTCTCCATGTAACGCAAATCGGCTGGTGGGGATCGATTTCACGACCCCTTGGACATGGTCCCAACGTCCTACCAATCAGGCTATCCCGGCCGCAAATCAGTTTAAGTTTTGAATAATATTAGCAGTGTACTTGTTAAACGAGGCGCGTAAACTTTCACTTTTAGGATTTGGCATGGTTTTGATTTGTTAAAAATTAACTTACCCTCCTAAAGCTCCTAAGATAAGTTTAACCTTTATTGAGTACGATACAATAATGCCAAAAGGATCTTTCTCCTGGTCTTCAGGAAGTCTGAAAAAGAACAAATAGATAAAATATTTTTTTTCCGAAAGGGTTCACTATTTTATGCTTTTATAACTTTACGTCATTTTTTAAAACTAAGACAACCATTATTAGGTAAAGAAATCATAATGGTCCTAGAATGCAATAAGTAATGAATTGTAAAACAAATATCAGGGGACACACAAAACTCAAAATATGAAAAATTGAAATGGATAGTGTTTCTTATACTGGGGAGCGCTGCAAGCGTTTGGCTGACTAGACTTCCTGGCCACTGTTTTTGATGTGTTTTGAAGCCATTTGGCTCACAACGTGATCATTGGGTTTTGAGACTATCTTGAGTGGTATTTCTTGTACACGTGTATTTGTTACCTGATTTATTATTTGTATTTAAAAGAAGAATCGTCATTTGAAAATCTGTAATTTCAAGACGTAAGAATTGTTATTTGGAAAAAGAATCGTTATAAAACACTTCTTACCCTGTTAACAATGTGCCAACTTAGGAATTTAAACCTAAATTATAATTTGTAAAATGAACTTAATCTCTCTGCTCGAACTATAAGTCAACACTAACGTATGATGGTGCACAGCTTGCTCCAAGAACAGACAATAATAAACAAGTAAAAAAGGGCCAAATCAGAACTGCCAAAAAGCGAGTTCTTTCAAAATCTTGCAACCATGTCACCTTTTTTGAGAATACATCTCTCAATAACTAAAACAAATTTCACATGAAACTCGCCAGAATTACTTAATATCTTATGAAATACAGCAGATTTGAGCTCAGAAATTGTATAATTTATTTCTTTTATTCAAAACAAAATTATCTGTTTAAAAAAATATCGCCTAGCAGAATAAGCTGTAGTAAGCAGCTGTATACTTTCTAACCGGAAGTAGAGCCGGCCAAAAGTTCGAGATTGTTGTGGTTTAATTTATATTGAAAACACCATCCGTAAATGTATGCTGAACATAAGTGTGTGATTTTTTCCCCAGTTGTATACCCATTAAACTCTCAAAAATAATAATAATGACATCCCCTCAATTTTAGGTCTAAATATAAATTTAAAATTTGTTAATTTTAACCAAATTTTATTCTATTCAATGAAATCAGTTTGACTCGGCTCTAATCCGCATCAATGTGTAAATATTACACTTGAAAATAAAACTCACGAGCAGTGAATATTAATAATTTGAAACTCAGTTGTAGCTGCCGAAATATTATACAATAAGTATTAAAAATTCCTACACAGTTGAAGCTGCCGAGATAATATCAGTATAACAAATTCTTACACAGATGAAGCTGCCGAGACATTATAAGTATTAAAAATTCTTACAGAGTTGAAGCTGTCAAGATATTATAAGTATTATAAATTCCTACACAGTTGTAGCTGCCGAGATATTATAAGTGTTACAAATTCCTACACAGTTGTAGCTGCCGAGATATTATAAGTATTAAAAATTCTTACACAGTTGTAGCTGCCGAGATATTATAAGTATTAAAAATTCCTACGCAGTTGAAGCTGCCGAGGTATTATAAATATTAAAAATTCTTACACACTTGAAGCTGCGAGATATTATAAGTATAAAAAATTCTTACACAGTTGAAGCTGCCGAGGTATTATAAATATTAAAAATTCTTACACAGTTGAAGCTGCCGAAAAATATTTTCGAATCTAATTAATACTAGTGAAGTAAAATTGGTATTTTCTATACATAGTTGAAGTTTTGAAATCATGATATTCTGCATACTTACATAGTTGAAGCTGCCTAGAAATATCGATGCTCCAAAAATATGGTTTAAATTGCCGAAGTTATATTTTGTTACACTACATACTTACATAGTTGAAGCTGCCATAAAAACTGCTTCATCTCCAACAGGAGCATCGAGGGCTAGACCCCTAGTTTTCTGAGAGTCAACAACTGTGGGATAAAGTTCTACGACTTTATGGAGAGTGCCTCCTGGTCCAATTGGGCATCCGGATCTATACGATATAAAGTATTTGAATTAATATTACCGAAATCCCTTGATTTGGAATGTCGTTAATTCTGAAAATAGGAACATTATAGCAAAATGACAGTACATACAAATTTTAGTTTTCATGTTTTGTTTATTCAACATATTAATTATATACAGGAGTCGAATTAGACTGGCCGTTTTCAATCTTTAGTGAGCGTTCGCTGTAAGGAGCTTCTTGAAATTTGCAATTCTTGCCCATGACGCCGAATCGATAATATAATGCTCCTTGACTTTTAACGACATTCTCACGCATTGATTTGATGTTATCATTTGAACGTCTTATTAATAGACGACCAGCGTGTTTAATGTATCGAACTAATCCAGTCTCTTTGTAATTTTCTATTACTCGTTTCACAGTTGACGAAGTTAAATCAATAATTTTGTACGAAATTTAGGAACTAAAGCTCGTTGTTCTTCCGTCTAGTGCTGCATTATTACTAACCCTCAATTGCCAGCTCCTAAGCCGTTTTTTTTTTTTTTTTTTTTTTTTTTTTTTTTTTTTTTGCAACACAAAATTAGTCATTGATTTAAATCTTGCTTGAATTTCGGGACTCGAATTAAACATCAAGATGGAAGAGTGAAAAAAGAAAAATAACAAGTAAGAAATTCATCATTTCATTATAGCCAATTTTTTGAAAAGATTAAAATATAAATGCTACCAAGATATTTTAACAGCTATGACATAGAAACACAAATATTACACATACAAACACAAATACACCCATGTATATATACACACATATATATGGAAAGTTCTTATGTAAGATTAGTAATAGCTTATTTTAACTTTTATGAAAACCAGCTGCAAGTGCAATGGTTTTAATGCCAGCTTTTCCGTCCTACATTCCTTGACCCTGTAATAACTTTGGGGAACATATTTTTTGTTTCATTTATACAAATACGTACTTGATTTATGATCTCACTTAAATTCTGGTGTGGGGATTCCAAATCTGAAATTTGTTTTGTTCGGAAAGCTACAGATTTTTTTCTTTCAAAATTATATAAGTCTTTTTTTTATTGTTAGAAAGTACAACTTCATAATAAACGTGTATATATATATATATATAATAACTATTTAGTGCAGGCAGTTAACAATGAATTAAGATTTGTTTTATTGTAAAAAACCGTTTAAAATATTTATTGATATCACAATAAGCAAATTCAATCTGGTGGAGTAGTACTTTGCCCATTTTCCTAATTTTATTTTATTACAACCGACCGAACTTTCAGTTGACGACTACCAATGTTCAACTCCGTATCGTTGTAATTTTGAACCCAATCTAGAAGACAAGGAAACTCCTGGATTAAGTATTGGGAGAAATTTGCCTTTGTGGAAGACTTTTTGATGGAACTGATCCGCAATTGTGTTACATAGAGAGAAAAACCATGAAAATCT